GACCCCAAAAGAAAAAACCCAAAAAAAAAAAAAAAAAAAAAAAAAACACAGTATAACTGATAAATAAAATCCAGATATATTTTAAATTATATATAATGATTATATAGGCTATTAAGATTTAGGGGACGGGGGGCAGGTGGTATGGTGGTTAAGGGCACTGGACTCCCACATGGTCAACTGTGGTTCAAGTCCTGGACCTGTTGGCTTGCTTTCTCACTTCCTCTCTCTCTCTCTCTCTGAGTCTGTCCCTCTTTGGTCTAATTAAAATAAATAAATAAGGTTAAATAAAATAATTCTTTTAAAAAAGTTTAAAAAAAAAAAAGACTTAGGGGCCAGTAGGTGGTTGTAGTGGTTATGTCGCTGGACTCCCATGTTACTGACCACAGTGCGAGTCCTGGACACAGGACTCGAAAATCATGCTGGGCACATGTTTGTGCATGCCCAAGATCCCAGGAGGAGAAAGAAGAAGAGATTATGGTGTGGCCATTCCCCAGGGAGTGATTTCTCACTTTCCTTCTCACTGTCTCTGTCTCTCTCTGGCAAGCACAGACATGCTATGGACAAAACCTATTTAAGAAGACAGAATTTCAGGAAAATAAGCTTCTGGCAAGTGTGACTGAGACAGAGACAGGAAAAACTGAAACATGGAACACTGGGTCAGCAGGCCGCGTGGTGCTTCAGGCACCGGCGCCCACGTGGCCAGCTCTGCAGTTTGAATCCCAGAGCCGATGGCTTGAAAAATGCACTGTGGCTTCCACAGAGGCCTACAGGCCGCCGCTTGTGCCGCCGCCACGTCCCTAGTGACCCCTGAGACGTTCCAGCGCATTTGGCGAGTCCTCAATACCAACGTGGATGCGCGGCCGGAAACAGCCTTGGCCATCACTGCCATTGAGGGTGTGGGACGGAGATGCGCGCATGCGTGTCAGGAGAGCAGCCGCGCACCTCCCAGAGGGCAGGAGCGCACCCTGAGGCGGAGGGGGGACGTGCGACCACTACTACGCACACCACGCCAGGACGCGATCCCAGGCTGGTTCCTGAACAGGCAGGAGGTAAAGGGTGGAAACTACAGCCAGGTCCTGGCCGACGGTCTGGACAACCTGGAGAGACGCAAGAAGATGCCTGTGTCCAAGAAGAAGTGAGTCTGTAGACCTTGTCTGTTAATAAATGGTTTATAGGCCGGGACTAGCAGTTAGCGTAATGGCTATGTCGCTGGACTCCCACGTAGTCGACCGCGGTTCATGTCCCCGACCCAGTGGCTTAAACTCACGCCGGGTACGTGTGCGTGCGTGCCCAAGATCCCGAGAGGAGAATGGAGGAGAAGGGATTGCGGCGTGGCCATCCCTCTGGGGGTGATTTCTCACTTTCTGTCTCTCTGTCTTTCTCTGTCTTTCTGGCGAGTGCTCACGCCCTATAGCAAAAATCTCTCCAAAAGAAAGAAAGGAAAAGAAAATGAAGGAGAAGAGATTGCTGCATGGGCATCCCCTAGGGTGCTTTCTTGCTTTCCCTCTCACTGTCTCTGTCTCTCTTTCTGGTGAACACCCATGCCCTAAAGCAAAAACGTCTACAAAAAAGAAAGAAAGAATGAAGATAAATTCACAGAAATGAAAAGAATTTAACTTAGAGAAGATGACGTGCAATTCTTTGCCTAAATATTAGAGATCTATATGGGAAGATTCTATGTTAGGGCAGTACATACTAAATAAACCGACTTGAGAAGAAATTAGACCTGAACAGAGCAGTAACAGCAGAAAAAACAGAGACATAGCAGAGAGCCCGCCAGGAAGAGATGCTTCATCCAGATCTGTCTGTTTTAAAATTTTTATTATTTATTCATTCATTTCTTTTAATTTGACCAGAGAGAGACAGAGGGAGAGAGAGAAAGTGAGAAAGCAAGCCACCAGGTCCAGGACTCGAACCACAGTCAGCCATGGGGGAATGTCCAACACCTTAAGCACCACGCCACCTGCTGGTCCCCATCCAGCTCCTTCTATGGACAAAGCTTATCGAACACGGAAGGAGGCTGGTAGTGGTCTGGTGGCGGAGGCGCTAGCTCCCACGAGGCCAACCCTGCAGTTCAAGTCCCAAACCCAGAGGCTTTAAAACCACGCCAGGCTTGTGTGCACACACACCCAAAATCCCAAGGAGAGAAGGGGCTGCAGTGTGGCATCCCTCGGGAGGTGATCTCACACTTCCTTTACCTTTGTTCCTCTCTGGTGCGTGTCCAAGCCTGAGGCACGTGTGCCTGTCCAAGACTCCAGGACGAGAACGGAGGAGGGACTGCAGTACCGTCACCCCCCTCTGGGGGGTGATTCCTCACTTCCCCTCTCACTATCTCTGTCTCTGTCTCTCTCTCTGGTGAGTGTACATGCCCTATGGCAAAAAACTCTAAACCAAAAGAATGAGATCATTGTTGACTTTTAAAATAATCTTAAAGAACAAAGGGCCACATCTCAATTTATTTTATGCATACTTAGGCATAAACGTGCAATGTATTTAAGAGCATAATTAGTTTATTATTAATAAGTAAATTACATTTATTTATTTATTTTTAGTTTGCTATAGGATATGTGGACTAGCTGATGAAAGACAGAGGGAGACAGTGCCATCCCCTGGGGGATGGCCATACTGCAATTCCTTCTCTTTCGTTCTCATCTTGGAATTTGGGGCATGCACGCACAAACACCTGGCATGTTTTTCAAGCTACCAGGTCCAGGACTCGAACCGAAGAGCCAGCCATGTGAGATCCAGTAACTTTAGCCACCGTGTCACTGGCTGGCCCAAGCATTATTTTGATACTGAAACAAACTGGATCAAAGCACAGAATGTGCAATTTCTAGTCTAGATGACTTTTACATCTGTCTAAGCCACAGAAGCCTGGCTTCGAACGAATCTCATGATAGTGTGCAGGCTGCATGGTGGGCTCAAACTGTCTGGGACCTGCACATGCCACCTCACACAGCCACGAGCTTTGCAGATGGGTATAATGCAGGATTTCAAAATGGAGAAATGATTCTCATTACCCCGAGGGGCTCTAACTGTCTCAAAAGTGTCTTCATAAGAGGGAGGCTGAGGGAGATTTGACAAAGAGGAAAAGGCCAGGCGATTTCCGAAATAGGCGCTGTGCACTGCAGCCGTGAGCCGAGGGAAGCCGGGCGCGGCAGGGTCAGCGTCTGGAAGAACCCAGCCCTGCCGACACCCATATGTGAGCTCCGTGGCCTCCAGACTGGGCTGCTTTACTGCACTGCCTCTGGGGTCTGTCCCACAGCATGGCCAGGCCTCCCAGTGGTTACCTGTGCAGGGCAGGCTCCCTGGAAGAGGAGCCACTTTTATTCTCACCTTTCTTTTTTGTGTTGTCATGCCCATAAAAATAATCATAAATAATTTTTTATAATTAAAGAAAAAGAAGCAACATAAATGAAGCACTTTGCTCAGTCAGGGGCCGTCGGGATGGTTCAGTGAGTACGGCTACACAGCCCCCCCGGGCCGCCTGGCGCTGATGCCTGTACAGCCCGTCAAATCATCCCTGACACTCAGGGCCTGCCTACGAGCTTGGAGCTATGAGGCCCCTGCCTCCCCCCAGTGGCTCAGGGCCCCCCACAGAGCCCAGGAGCTAGCTGGAAGGCGTGCTGCCCAGAAGGGCCCCTGGCCTGGCGGGAGCGCCCTGACTCCCGCATGATCATTCCCCTTTGTCCTGGAGGCCCTCTGGCCTCTCCGGTCTCTGCACGCATGGTGGGCAGCAATGACAGAGAGCTGGCCTGGGGGTCAGCACTCTGCAGTGGCTCTTTGGGAGGGACCGTCTTTAAGCTGGGGCAGACACCCACCTGTTACCATGTGCCTAGCAGAGCCTCAGGCCACAAGGGTGAGCGGGCTGCGAAGGGTCCTCTCGGGAGCAGGATGCTCGTGCAGCCCTTGCACACCCGGGTGCTGGGAAGAGCACACGCCTGACGTCACCTGCTTTCTGGGGTGACTCAGTCCTCGCACAGCAGCGCTCTCTCGGAAGTAGCACTCAGAGCTGCAGTTCCTCTGACGTCTCCATGGCAACGTTCACACAGATTTCAGGGAACAGAAGGTGTCTGAGCTGGAGGAAACTTCGGGTATCAGCTCCTCCTGCCCCCCACCCCAGCTTCACAGGGGAAGGAGCGGGCCCAGAGAGGGGATGCTACGTGCCCAGGGGCACACAGCGCACCGGGCCCATGGGTCCTTGCTCTTCCGGCACTGCCTCTGCCCAAGAGCAGACAGCTGAGTGCAGAGGACTGTCTTCTTGGGAAGGCTCTGGGGAGCATCAGCCTTGGGGGCTTTGCCACACCCCCACTTGTGGAAGGACCCAGAAGTCTGGCCTGGCCTCTCTGGCTCAGTCTCTGAGAATTCCCTTGGGTACCTGGAGGGGCAGGAGCGGCCGGACGGCATGTCCTCAGGGAGGCCCCAGGCTGGTGCAGAGATAGTGCAGCCCTGGGGAACCACCACGCTCTCCAGGGAGCTGGTAATGGGGGTCAGAGGAGCCAGGAGAGGCCCCAAACACACCCTGGGAGGTGGGCGAGGACTTCACTCCTGTCTGTGCCCCCTCCCCCAGCACACGAGGGCCGGAGGTCCAAGCTCTGTGGGTCGGCAGAGTGTGGGGTGGTACTAAAGGATGCAGTCATGGGTCTGGAGTGGGGGTATGGGCTGGACACTCATGGTCCATGTCACTACAGGGCACGGGGTCCACCTCCCAGAGGGCACAGTGGAGGAGCTGGAGGTGACAGATGTGCAGGGACTAGGGTCTGGGCTGTCAGAGGGTGGTGGGTGTGAAGGGGAGGGCGGTGGGGGTGAGAGTCCAGAAGTGAGGCCTCAAGCAGGTCAGAGCAGACCTGGAGTCACTCTGTCCCCTTGGAAACATGGATTCACGGAGACCCCTCCCTACCCTGCAGAACCAGCCCCAAACCATAAGTTGAGGACCATGGCACCCCTCCCAGGAGGACCTGCCTCGCCTGCAGGACTCTTCCCCTCTCTGGATCTGAAGATCCTAAGAATCTGGATACCCTTAGGTCTGGCCAAAGTCTCCCTTCTGATCTTCCCCACCTTTCTGGCAGGCTGTTCTAGTTAGTTACTGTGTAACAAACATTCCCAAATGCTCCTGAATCCGCAGTTTGGGAAGGACTAAGTGGAGATCACCCATCTCTGTTCTGCATGGCATCCACTGGGGACGAGGCAGCCACATGGCAGACAAATCCAATCCTCTTCCTGTGGCTTTCTCCCAGCATGGGCTCCATGGACATCTGTTTCAAAAGCCAGAAATGGACGAAGAGTGGTTCCTGCCATACCCATTGGTGAAAGCGAGCTGGGCATCCATGCAGATTCAAACCATGGTCGGCCCTGTGGGAGTCCGCTGCCTTAGCCACCACGCCACCTGCTGGCCCCGCCCTGTTTTTTTTGGTTTTGGTTTTGTTTTTTTGAGAGGTTTTGCTATAGGGCAGAAAGACAGAGAGAGACAGAAAGCGAGAAATCACCCCCCAGGAGGGATGGTCACGCCACAATCCCTTCTCCTCCATTCTCCTCTCGGGATCTTGGGCATGTACGCACATGCGCCCGGCGTGAGTTTAAGCCGCCGGGTCCGGGACTTGAACCATGGTCGACTACATGGGAGTTCAGCAACATAGCCATTACGTTAACTGCTGGTCCCGTCCCGCCCTGTTTTGAAGAGAGCCTGAGACTTGGATTTTATTTACGCGCTCTTAACATAAATGTTGCAAGGGCAAATCTGTCTCCCTGGCTCAGAGCTCCCTTCCCCTCCTACCGCCCACTCCGCTCGCCTCCTCTTTCCCTTGGACTCACCATCTGCTCCCCACACCCAGGATGTCCTATTTGCAGGCCCAGACCCCAAGCTGCCAAACCCCTTGTGGCCCTATGCCCTGGGCCTGCTCTGGGCAGTGACTGGCAGGAGGAGGTGGGGAGTCCGCTGCGTAGGCCTGGCGCCATCCAGTGGGCATGGGCTGCCAAGGGTCCCAACTGGGACTCCGAGCCAACCAGCCTAAAGCTGGCCTGGTAGAGAGGGTTACATAAAGTCCCCAGAGCTGCGGGAGAGAGAGCCCAGTACCCCACCCAATCGGGGGATCTGTCTGGAAGAGATGGGAGCCAGGACAGGAAGACAGGCAAGAAGTCAGGGGACTCTGAGAGGGCTTCCCCAGGCTTGCCCCCAGTCTATGGGGAGCCCTGGGCCACCCCTGCCATGAGACTGTTTACTTTCTCTGGAGCCAGAGTCCCCAGGGAACACCCTGGGTCTGCCGCCTCCTAACATGGTGACCTTGGACAGCTTGCTTTGCCTTCCTGGCCCCGGTCTCCCCTTCTGTACATTGGGGCCCACAGCAGAACACATGTCACAGGACAGTGTGAAGATGACAGTGCCTGGCACACGAGAGCGCTCAGGGCCGGGCAGCCTTCCATATTGTCCACTGGGCAGGCTGCTGCCAGGCCCTCGAGGAATCTGCTGGTCACTGCCCTCCTGCTGCCTTTTCTCGGGGCTCTGAGCCTGAGAGGCAGCCGGTTACGGTTACATGAGCTGTAGGCACTGCCGGCTAGGAGGCTCAGGTATCTGAAGGGCCCGGGGTCCCAGTAACTGCTGTCGTGTCTTGGGGGACCATCAGCTCCCGGAGGAACACCAAGAAGCCCCCTGTCATCAGGGAGCACTGTCCCTGGACATCACTGCCTCCCCAGCCCTAAATGCCTGTCTCATTCTCAAACCCCAGACAACCATGGGTGGGGGGTTCTGGACCCAGCCCCTGAGCCCAGGTGGGGACAGGAATCAGGCCCTGGAGATGGCTTTGCCAGACCCCAGCCTGGGTCTAGAACCAGCACTGCCACCTTGGGGCCAGAATCTAGAATGAGATTAAGGGGCCAGCACAGGGGTGTGGGGGGCTGTCCTCCTAACTCCCCGACCCTTGAGGGCAGAGCCCATGCAAGGGGGCCCTCTGAAGGCCACTGCTGGCTGTCTCTCACTTTCTTTCTCGGGCAGCAGCTTCAGGGAGGGCCCTGGGTGGTGTTGTGCGCTGTTCTGCCTCTGATAACCAGCTGTGGGCTGGACTCCGAACGCTCGGCGCAGCCCTGCCCGCGAGCCAGGTCTGAGTGGTGAAGCGTCCTGGACCCGCCTGCCCTGGAGAGGACAGCGCAGGGAGGGGCAGCGGGCCAGGTGGCAGGTCATCTCTGGATGAGAAGGGACAGATTCCCAGAGTTCCATCCATGCAGACCCTCTGCTCCAGTACCCTCATCTACGGACACCTCTACAGTCCCAGGTCTAGAAGTGGTTAGTACGGAAGTCGCTGGGGTGGGGCTGTCTGGTGGGGAGGTACATGGCGCACAGAGGGGACATAGGATCCCAGTCCAACCTGCGGCCACAGAAGGGGGAATCGCTGGCCTGGAGCTCTAACCTAAGCGTCCTCACTCGGCTGTGGCTCATCTGCCCTGTGCACCCCAAGCCGGGAGCACCCGGGGCGGGGGCCGGGCCTGGGCCTCCTGACCCCGCCCCCGGAACGGCGGGATTATTTGCATGACCCCGCCTCCAGGGCGGCCATTGGTGGCAGGAGCAGGAGGCCGGGCCTGAATGGCTGCGCGGCCTGTGGGGCGGCGGGGGCGGGGGGGGAAGCCGTGCGCCCGGGATGCCGCCGCCACCGCCACGGCGGGGGGG